TCACTCCAGAAAAAATGGCTGCCATCAAGAAATCAACTGGTAACAAAAGTTGGCAGGGCTGTGGAGAAAAAGAAACACTGCTCCACTGTTGGTAGAAGTGTAGACTGGTGCAGCCACAATATAAATCAATATGGAGATTCCTCAAACAACTAGGATAAGAAGTTCCATTCAATCTAGCTATGGCCCTCCGGGGTATGTTTCCAGAAAAATTGAAAAGGTCATGTCACAGTGATGTATGTGCACCCATGTTTATAGTAGGACAATTTGTGATAGCTAAATCTTGATAACAACCAAAATGCTCCTCAACTGCAGAATAGATAAAAAAAGATGTGGTATTTTTATACAATGGGATATTACTCAACTATAAAAAGGATGACCTTGAGGCTTTTCTAGGTAAATGGAGGCAAGTTGAGAGTATCTTCATAAGTGAAATAAATCTGACTCACATTTATAAATATCATATTGTCTCTCTAGTGTAAAACATTAATAGTAATAATAATGAACTGAAAAGAGTAATAAGATCCAAGACATATAATAGATATTGTAATAATTAAAGGGAAAGAAAGTGCTTGAAAGGAAAGAACAACCTGCAGGTATACACATACAACTGAATATATGTTTAAGTGTGCAAGACTGATAGCCATGCTACTAAGTTTTTGATAGTTCATCTAACATAACAGTTTGTGCTACCATTGTTCAATTCTCTGTTCATTTTTATGTTTTGATTTTATAACTTAAGTAAGTACTTCTGATATAGCAATATGTAATATATCAACTAGTGATAATTTCTTAATGTTTTTTCTCTTAATGTTTTGTAAATTCTGTATCATTTCTGCCCTTTTTTCTGTTTTGCTTTTTTTCAATTAAATAAAACAATTATACATGGACACTATCTCTCTTTCAATAATGTGATAGTTGACAAGTACAGCTAGTACAGTTTTCTTAATTCATTTGAATAATATTCACATTGTATAGTATACAATGACTAGTTAATGACTAGTACAACTTTCTTAATTCATTTGAATAATATTCACATTATATACTATACATGTCACAAATTCAAAACATTTAGAAAAGAAAAAAGTAATAAAACTCTCAATATGACTTTCAAAAACTAGCAATATAATAAAAACTTTAAAAAGATGTCTACAAAGAAAACCCTATGATTTACAAGGACTGATTGTTTTTCTCCTAAGACTGAAACAAGGCAACACATAGTCTGAAGACTTCTAGTCAACACTTCACCAAAGCTTCTAACTAGTTCAAAAATGTAGGGAAAATAATTATGAAATTCACAGTGGAAAAAAAAGACATAATTTTTTTTTATTTTCAGATATGATCCTATACATAAATATTCCAAAAACTATAAAAGAATTACTGGAACTAATACTTGAAATTAGATTACAGGATAAGCAGTCAGTATATAAAAGTCAACTAAATTTCTCTACATAACAATAAACAACCAAAAAATGACATTAACATAACTCTAAACACAACAGTACCAAAGTAGTTAAACATTTTTTTAAAAAGTATAATATCTGAATACAGACTTATTAAGTATGAGTTTTAAAAAACATGGTCATAATGGAAAAAATTTAATAGATTTCATCAAATTGTAAAACTCAATTTTCAAAGAGCATTATTTTAAATGAAAAGATAAACTGCAGTGGGAAGAAGTATCTGAAAACTGTATTTTTTAAATTTTATTTTAAAGAGGGTAAAACTAAACTTAACAGAACAAAGCAGATCAGAAGAAAACACTGCAAGACACAGATTTTAAAGCAAGACAGCAGGAGATCAACACTGTCTATCATATTGTCTCTTGTTTTCTTCTAAATAGCTGTCCATATCCTCACACACATTCATACAAAACAAAATAATATTAAACTGATCAGAACAGGATGATCAAGGCATTTTAGGCCTTCAAAACCAGACAATAGGGAAATCAACAATGGCTGCCATAATGTCTCTTGTTCTCTTCAAAATAGCTGTCCATATCTTCACGTATGTTGAAATGAAACAAAATAAAAGAGACTAAAATCACTCTGAACAAAGAATAATAGTATTGCTGGATTTCACAGCATGACACTATTGGGTACCACAGTGTCTCTTTTTCTTCAAAGTAGCTGTTCATTTCATCATGAATTATATAATTGATTCTCATAAACTGTTTAGGAGAAGTTCTACACATGTATAAGCCTCTACATGTATAACTACATTAGAGTGAAAAGCAAAACAAAACACATTCCTAGAAAAGCATGAAACAAAAAATACAAATAAGTAACAATAGCAAAGAGCCCAAAAGAATGACAAAACAAGGTGATAGGAGCATAACTAGGATTGTTATTTTACATAATGATCTTCAAGAGTTCCTCAGATCACCATACAATAACATGCACAGTTGTTCCAATTCTATGAATGTTAACTATTTTGTTCCAAGAACTTACAGAATTTAAAGCACAATCATCTTAGCTATCCTAAGTGTTTATACAATTTTAAATATTTTTCTTTTCCCTTACTTTTCTTCCCCTCATTTTCCCTGAGATATTACTTTTTCCCTTTTAAGCAGCTTCTCATCCTTTCATTATATTTATTGAGTTTTTTGTATCTTATGTACACTTACCATTTTTTTACATTAGGGAGACTATATGGTACTTATATATGTGAATTTATTTCACTTATGAATATGGTCTCAAGTTGCATCCATTTACTTATAAATGTTTCAATATGATCCTTCTTTATAGCTGAGTAGTACTCCATTGTATAAAAGTAGCATATGTTTTTTATCCATTTCTCAGTTGATGGGCATTTAGGTTGTTTCCAAGATCTGGCTATTACAAATTGTGCTGCTATAAACATGGGTGCACATACATTACTGTGGTATGATGTTTTCAGTTCTTCTGGGAATATGCCCAGAAGTGGAATAGCTGGGTCAAAGAGCACTTCCAAACCCAGCTTTTTGATAAATTTCCAGACTGACCTCCACAGCGGTTACACCAGTCTACATTCCCGCCAACAGTGTAGAAGATTTCCTTTTTTTCCCTCCAGCCTTTCCAGCATTTGTTGTTGGTAGTTTTCTTTATCCTGGCCATTGTTTCTAGAGTGAAATGGAATCTCAGTGTTGTTTTAATTTGCATTTCTCTAATGAGTAATGATGATGAATATTTTTTCATGTATTTATTTGCCATTTGTATTTCTTCAGATGCCCATTTTTGGAATGAGTCTTTGAATATTGGAGATCTGATTTTTTTCTGATTCTTTGTATGTTCTAGATAGGAATCCTTTGTCTGAGGGGCAGTTCACTAAGATTTTTTTCCCAATTTGTGTGTTTTCTTTTCACTATGCTGGAGATTTCTTTTGACATGCAAAAACTCTTTAATAAGACGTGATCCCAGTTATTGATTCTGTGAAGTATTTCGCGTGCAGTTTGATTCTTGTTCATGAATTCTCTACCTACCCTTGTGTCTTCAAGATTTCTACCTACTTTGTCTTCCAACAGATTTAGTGTTTCTGTTTTAATATTTAGATCTTTGATCTATTTAGACTTTAGTTTAGTACACAGTGAAGACATGGGTCTAGTTTTAGTTTTTGGCATATGGGAAAGCCAATTTTTCCAGCACCATTTATTAAAGGGACTATTTTTCATCCACTGTATGTATGAAACCTGTATTTTAGATACATAATTTTATCCAAAACAATGAACGGAGACCTCAGTATAAGATAAACATTTCAATTAAAATAGTCAAAAGATTTGAATAAGTATTTCAATAAAAAACATGTATGCTTGGCTAATAAACACATGAAAGTATGCTTAATATCACTGGCCATCAGAAAAATGCAAATTTAGACCTCTATGTTATGCCACTACACACTCACTATGGCTATGATCAGAAAAACCGGTAACATTAAATCTTGGCAGAGATATGTAGCAATTAGAATCTTCCTACAGAGCTGGTAGATACAGAACAGCTATATTGGCTAAAGAAAACTTAGAATATGACCCAGTAATTTCACTCTTAGCATCTACTCAAGAGAACTTTACATGTACCCAGGACTTATCGCATGAATGTTCACAACAGTATTATTTATGTAAATACTATAAGCTAGGCTTATGAATTGAAAAAGAAATAAACAAAATACGCTACACACACAATGAAACAGTATTGAGGTATAAAAATGAATGGAAATGGAATCATGCTCTAATGATGAACCTTAGAAATATTTTACTAAACGAAATCAGGCCCCTAAATAATATTGTATGGCTTCATTTATATAAAATATCCAGAAAGGGAAAATGTACAGAGATGAGAGCAAACCATCATTTGCCTAGAGCAAACAGTAGGAGGAGATACAGGGTATAAAGAGATTTGAGTGATTTTTTCAGGTTACAGAAATGTTCTAAAATTACATTAGGAAAATGCTTGTGCAACTCCAGAAACAACACAGAACTGCACACTTAGGTTGTGGTCCTCACGGTCAGTTAGCTTGTCCGAGTAATTGCCAAAATTTGTGAGTATTTGTATTACCTCAAAAATTTAAATATATTTTCATGAAATTGCATAAGGAATGTGTGAATGTGTGTAGAAGAAAGTTCAAACTTTCTATTTATTTTTCTCCCATATCGATGATTCACATTCTTCCTGTATGTGCCATACTTACAGCTCACTGAGCAGCAGTAAATGGAGCCCTGGGGAGCCGAGGATATAAAGCAAGGATGAACTCTAGCATGAGTTCTTCACTCCTAGAAACCTGTGAGATCTCACAAGCAATTCATAACAACCAGGAGAGGGCATGAGCAGTATTTCCCCGTACACAAGCCTATCCCAACGCTCCCTTCTCATTTATCCAAGGACTGCGCCTGCATTCACCAAAGTCTGCATGTGCTGAAATTTAACAGTACTTCGCAAACAGCTTTTTCAGATACACTGATGCTACACCTTGATTTTTACAAAGCCTATCAACAAATATCAGCATACAGTAACATATAAACATGTACTTACCAACAGAAATGTCCGAATTGTTCTGATTTTGTTAAGTTCAAGAAGCAATTTTTGTGCTTTTTCATGGTTACTACAATATTCATCGTAGATGCGAAACTTGTCTTTCTGTGAATTCAAGACAAAATAGAATGACTTTATTCATTTTGAAATTTTAACCTGTCTGTATATATAAACTTTACTGTTTTCTATGTCTCCTGAGCTATACTGTGATATATCCTGATACATAAAGAATTGTCTAGAAAAAGAGAAAGACATAAATTGCACTCCCATATGATGAATAAATTGCACTCCAATATGATGAATGCAATAATAGATAAATTAAACACATGGGAGCCAAGAATAGAGAACACTGAACTGTTCAGGAAGACTACACATACGGCTTTTAAAAAACTGTTACTTCTGCACAAAGGGGGATAAACCCATGATTCCCAGGCAGGAAGAGGGGAGAAAGTCATGTTAGATAAAGAGAAATTCATTTGCCAGATCATCAAAGAAGAGCGAAACACAGTACCCTGCAGTTCACAGGCATCAATTTGGATGGTACCCTTAAGAGGGACATTGACAAATAACAATATAAGGCAAATGGCTGAGAGAAAGACAGCTCTTGAGGACATAGTAAGTGACAGGTCACTTTAAGAGACAGATAATTCTTAGTATAGAAAAACCAAAGAATAGTAGCTACTTTCAAACAGCTATTATATTGCCAAAGTTGATGAATCTATAAAACTGCAAAATGTAACACTAACATCATTAGGTGAGAATTGTAAAGGTAGTGATGGACAGATTTTGAATCAATACAGAGATCTTCTAATCATTATTAGAGTTATCACTAAGAGTGACAAAGTAGGATCAAATTAAATGGTTTTCATAGATAAGAGGGAATTATTTCCAAAGGAAATCAGCTTTATTATCATTATCTCTAAGATTTCTTCCATTTGTAAGCTTTCTTAAATTGGTTATGATTAATAACTAGCAGAGCAGTATGAAAAAAAGACAGAATATTGATCAGATATTAAAAGTCTATCCTATAAAATTTCAAAAGCATGTGTTTAGAACATTAAGTACTATTGCATATAGGCAGCAGAGAATATATTGAATTAGTCAAGGATAAGTATGTATGAGCCAGATAAAAGCAATCTTCAGAAAAAGTTTAGCTAAATTCTAAATATTCATGACGTGTTACTAAGGAAATGGCTGTCAGATTACAGGACTCCCACAGGCAACCCGTGGCCGAAGATAGCAACTACTTCAGCTGGCAGAGGATTCTGATTCTTCTCTAAAAAGGAACAGGATTGGATAAATGGACACAAACACCCATGGCTTCCAACCACACCCAAGAAAGCACAGTTTGACCTTCCTACACCCAAGAAAACTCTCCCTTTATTATAATTATCTTTCTAGAACATTTTCTGCTATTAAAAGAACGTAAGCTGAGCCTGCTCATCATATATAAATAGGCTGAGAAACTACATAAGAAAGCCTGTATGGAAGACAAACTGGAAAATAAATATATACAGAGTTTGGTTGCCATGATGTAATACATATTTTCAAGGAAATGCGCATTGTATTACATTTTGCTAAATACACGGATTCAAAATGGTATTCTGAAAATTAGCACTAAGGGAGTGACACAAATAGCAGCATTCATTTTCATTTTCTTTTTTTAGTATGAATGCCCTTCAGCTCTGGAAATAATGTTGACTGTACAGGTGGCTTTTTACTTTGCAACTCAATTGCATAAATAATTTCAGCTATAATATGTAAATGACATGAAAATGATCACACAGGTCTGGGCCACATAATTTAGGACCACTGAACACCACTCCTACGCCTTCTGAACTGCTCTGCACAACCTTCTGAGAGGCCACCATTGAGAAAAATCCAACCACAGCCATACTTAATTTGTTCACCTCCAAATCTGTCACAAGCTGATTAACAGGAGCACATTCTGACTAAGAAAAGCTTGTAGGGCCATTTTGAGAGTGAGGATTTTCTGCTTCAAAAGAAAAATGCTCTATGTTTGAGAGAAACATAAAAATCCATTCATTACAAACAGCCTGAATATTCATTAAAATTCAAAGCTACAGAGGATGCGAAGAACAAACTTGTTGGGAAAGAGAAAAGGCTGTTCATTCTTCACTGAGTAAAATGGATGATGTGAGGCACTCCCCCCTTTCTGTTCTGGAGTACAAGATCTTACTGGCCTTAAAAGACCCCAAACTTTTCATGTCAGAGTTTACTTCTAGCACTGAATTCACACATTTTACTATGCCAAGAGCTAAATCGTAAAATCAAGGGAGAAAGAACTTTTCAAATAAACAGAAATTTATCCTACAAAGTGAAGAAAGCAGGTTCCCACTTCTTGTTGCGCATTAGGTTCCGGATGTAAGCATTCTTCTACAACTTTTAAGAATTCTTTATGTACTGCGAGGATATCTTCGATGTTTGAAAATAACATCTGTGAAAAAGATAAACACACGTGTAAGTGCAGTAGTGAAGCAAGTAAAATAAAATTTTAAACTGTCTATGAGGGTTCCATATTCTTTCTCCAAACTGAAAGTTTCAGAGGGTAGCCATGCTGCATCCAGTCCTTCCTCTCACCTTGCTGATAGAACCCAAATTCTATCCACTCCCATACAATTTTGGGGACCAGAACACTCTGCCTGTCTTCTAAGACAAAGCCTGACTGGCCAAATCCAAGCATGACAGTCTCACCCCTTTCCAGGATGCTCTGAAGGTCAAACTGCACACAGATTTTCTGGCAGGCTTTTGGAGAGGGGTATCTACCCCTGGGGAGGAGCAACTTCTGTCCTCCTGAAAAGTCCTGGGAGTGTGGGAGTGACAACTGGAACAACTATGTGGTAACTTTGCAGCCAGGCGAGAAGCCAGCTCAGATACAAAATGATGCCCTGGAAGGCAGAATGAATCACTGGAGAGGAACTAGCAACCTGTTAGCCTCCCAAATCACCTGTAGGGAACCTCCTTCATCCAAAGTTCTAATATGTGACTCGAATCATTTTCAAGTCTATTTGGATCATAAATTGCTTTTGCTTCTATCCTTAAACTCAGCAACTAAAATATTCCCATAGTAGGAATGTGTGAAAGATGAATATTTAACTTATAAGGAAATAGAGTCAAACAAACCTAAAATATTTTTATTTGCAGTAAAGGATAACAGGAAGCCAGCAATATCAGTATCAAGGATGATTTATACAACTTAAATAAGCACTATGCATAATTTTTTATCGTCCTTTGTTTTTTCCAAACTCTTTAAAATTTTCCCTAGGTTGTGTCGTGTGCGTGAATGCATGCGTGTGTGTGTGTGTGTGTGTGTGTGTGTGTGTGTGTGTGTGTTGCTGGGGATCAAATCCAGTACCCTCCCCCATAGTGAGTGGGAAGCTCCCCTCTACCACTAACCATTCCCCTTCCCTTACAGTAAAAGAAATGTTACATATTTGGTTCTGAGTTGAAGATATATGCACATTTTTCCTGCATTGATGAGTTATCCAAGTCTTGTTCTTTAGCAACCACAGAGACTGGAAGTCCAGATTTGTCCATCTCCTGTGGCTCTGTCAACCATCTGGCACCTCATTCAACTTCCTCCCTCTCATAAGGTCAAAGCTAGGTCTTGCTTTTTAAGTTTATTTTTCCTCTTCTTTTCAAATATTTCCAAGACCTTAGCTAAAAAGTCCTCCACCGTTATATGCCTCCTCTAACCTCCCTTCTTTCCCCGAACCTCGGCCCCTTTTTCACATTATCACTGACACAAGTGACTGGCTGAGCGACTTATAGTGGCACTGAAGAGCAACGGCAGGTTCCTGCAGGGCTGTCTCCCAGGCAGGGTGTCACCTCTGGGAACTCACGCTTGGGACAGGGTGCCCTTACACGCCCTCACCTTCACGGTTTCCTCTGTTACATTCTTGTCAACTTTTGCTGCTGCACACTGGTTCATTCGGTGTAAGAATGCCTGTGTAAAACAAGAAAAGCCATTATAAAAGTGGTATCAGGCTCATAAAATGACTGGGTGTTGATCAGAATTTCATTAATTTTTTTTAAAAAACCAATTTAATTCAATATCTATGTAAAATAGTTATGCTGTAATATGGGAGCTCCTGCGCATAGCTGCCCCTCCCTAGAATTGTACTTTCTTACAATGTAAGGCAGAGTCAAAAGTCATCTATATAAAGTAAAATTTATTCACCAGGCTTTCAAAGTTCTGGGGCAAACATTTAAAGGTAGGTGTTTACTAAACTTTTAAGCATTATGAAGCACAGGAACACCAGAATCTAATAAAATGCCATTTCTAATAGAAATATAAAATGGCAGAAATTGTGAAGTAACTTTCTTAGATTAAGATAGTCAGAAAGAGAGACAGAGAGAAAGAGAGAGAGAGAGACTATGTACATATATAGATACACACACAAGGTATGTCAACAAACACAGGACTTTTTAAATTTTTTTTTAAAAAAATTATGCCACACAATTTCCTCAAAGTACTCCCGCTCACTTCAAACACACTTGAACTTTGTACACCTTATTTTCAGAGCATTTAGCTATGAGCAAGCTATAACCTTTATTAAAAACAGTTGAAAGCTTCAGACTTATTTAAAAGAAATCACACATATGAACCACAAGACCTCATTTCTAACTTGAGCTTCACCACTATATTTATTCCTAATTAATCAATTTGTTTCAGATTCCATAACTACAAAGCCAAAGTCAAAGTTAACACCCTCACTCTTTACCACTAAGTCGACTTAAATAAAATGAATAAGAATGTTAGATGTAACCTTAATTTTTATTGGAATCATGCTCCAAATTTTAAGTATTATCTGAAGTTATGTATAATTGGATAAGAAAAGGACTTTGAGCATTCTTATTTTTATTTTAGTGTTGTTATTCTTGAGTATTATCCAAATATTCATACCACAGATACTTTTTAGACCTTTCTATTTAGTTTTAAAATAACAAGGATGGTTTACTTGACTAGTTTACATTTTATGTTGACCACATAGTAAACAGGTAATATCTTGGGCAAGCAAAACTTTAAACTTCATTTCTAGAATTATAAACCTTCTCATTATAAACAGAATTCAGTCACATTCTTCAACCAATAAATTAAAGCCAGGATGTAGTAAGACTGATTTCAAATGAGTTAAAAAGGAACATAATGCCAGTGAAGTATATACTACATCTTTATCTGACTTTTTTTACCTTCTTAAGCTCCATAATAATACTGAACATTTTGCCTAACTGTATACAAAAGAAAACCTGGAATAAAATCTGACCAGGTATTTCTTTTCATTTATACCATAATGAAGGAGGACTTCTAGATGCTTTCCTCTAAGTACCCAATCATGAAAACTGCTTAACTTTTTTTTAAATAAACATGTAAGTCTTCCTTCTTGAAGATAAAAACAAGCACATTCTCAGAATTATCCAAGATCTACAGACTCCTTTCAGACTTTAGCAATTGAGCATTTAATACTTTTCCTATCAGTCAAGGAAGTATTAGTAACTGAGTCACAAAAACGTTATCAGAGATTTCATTCAATTTTAACTCTACATTCATTATTCCCAGTAGTCCACAGTTTTACAATAGATAATCTTCATCTTGACACAAATGTATTTGAAAATAAGCACTAGAAAATAGCTTTTAATGATAGTGGATCTCAGAGTTGTTACTCCATGTGAGACTTGGAGAGAAATAGGCTTTTAACCCTATTTCTCAAATGTTGATTCAGCCAGTTGGTTTAGGGTTCACAAATTCACATTCTAAACCCAACTACTAGGTGACTTGGATATAACTTTGAGACAATTCTCTGATGGTCATTTCTTCATATTTATTCTCCCAAATCTTGAAAAAAATCTTAGAGATTTACTGGGAAAACAAATTCATTTATTTCTCTCTGACTTTCGACTCGAAGTCAAATAACAATCATCTCTGTATATAACCCTCCTACACAGTCATTTGGAGTTTTGGTACCCAGCCAGAGGATCTACCCTCGCTCCATAAAAATCACTGATTATGATGGTTTCTCAAGTCCAAGTTGATGCAGACAGGCAGGACAGGTAAGACAGGTTAAGTTTGATTGGGAGAAAGTGAGGCTGACAGATGCCCTTCTGAGAACCTTTCTGCTCACACATGTATCAACATGTACTCAATTCACCACCACTGCCCCACCAAGGGTTGCAAAGGACATAGTATTCTTGGATAGCACTCTTGTCATTGGCTACTTTTTTCCCACTTGGAGAGCAGAACCTTTTATTTTCTCTTTAACTTGATCCATATTGCTTTTCTTGTATGAAAAAGAATGTCAAATATCATACAGTAAAGTTTTATAACATTAAAAATGTCATTGAATTCTGGAAACTGGGTGGCCGGAGGTAAGTGTTCCCGCACCATCCTGAGCCCCTAGAGTTTAAGATCCTTACTCCCATCAGCCAAGGAACTTCACAGCTTCCTGCCATGCTTGGCTGGCTCCAGGATCTTGGACCTGCCTGTACTCTCAATTCTGGAGACTGGGAGTGCGGAGGTGGGTGTTCCTACACCACCCCAAGCCCGGGGAGTTTAAGATCATTGCTCACACTGGCCAAAGCTTCCTATCATACTCGACTGTCTCCACAGGTCTCTGGCGTGCCTGCCCCACCCTCAGTGACCCTCTCTCAATCCGGGGAACTGAGCAGCCAGAGCCCCAGGAGCTGAGGGCATAGAAGATTTCCAACAGGCCCAGGGGAAGCCTTGCAATAACACTTCAAACACGGAAATACAGGGAAATGACAAAACGAAAGAACAAAATACAATCTCAAACCTTCAGCCGATGGCAAGAAACCTAAGGAGCTATGCAAACAAAAGAAAATACATGCCATATACCTGAAATACCAGAAATAATAGCAACTAAAATAAAGAAGCAAGTCCGAGAAGCTTGAAAGGAATTAAAACTAGAAATAATCTCCTAGCTAAAAGAAGAAATGATAAAAGAAAGGAAAGAGATGCTGAACGTATCTAAAGAAGACACAGTTAAAAAATTAGAAGAACAAAACAAAAAAGATAAAATCTCTGGATAAACAATATAAGAAACAAACAGAATACATGAAGCACATTCAAAGACATATACAAGAAATAAAAAATTCCATTGAAAGTTGTCAAAACCGCCTCAACGAAAGTGAAGATAGAATTTCAGATCTCGAAGACAGGATTGCAGCTAGTGAACAGGAAAGGAAAGATCTTTCAAAAATAACAAGGAATCAGGAAATAACAATTCGATAGCTGCAAGATCACGCAAAAAAAAAAAAAAAAACATAAGATTGACAGGGATAAATGAAAAAGAAGGGGACAACACAAAGGATGTCAAGAGGATATTTAGAGAAGTAATCGCTGAAAATTTCCCAAAGGTGAGAATGTAAACTGTCATCAGTATCAGTGAAGCATAGAGAACTCCAAATAGGCATAATGAAAATAAAACTACACCCAGACATATAATAATCACCATTCCAGAAATCCAACACATGAATAGAATATTAAAAGCTGTCAGAGAGAAAAGAAAGATCACTTATAAAGGAAAACCTATCAGAATTACAGCAGACATCTCAGCACAAACAAAAAAGTCAAGAAGAGGATGGAATAAACTATTTCAGATCCTAAAGGAAAATGATTTCCAACCTAGACTGATGTACCCTGCAAAACTTTCCTTTAAAATGGATAGAGAATTAAGATACTTCCATGACAAACAACAGCTGAAGAACTTCATGATCACTAAGCCAATCCTGCAAAGAAAACTCAAAGACAGTTTAGATACATTTAGGAAAAAACCACTAAACAAAGCAGACAATTAAACAGAATGGAAAGATAAAGATGCAACAGCAGAAAGATAACATGTCAACAATAAGCCAATATATAACAGTTATAACAAATAATGTAAATGGTCTGAATTCACCAATTAAAAGAAACAGACTGGCAGAATGGATCAAGAAACAACATCCAACCATATGCTGTCTGCAGGAAACCTGTCTAGCCCAAAAGGATACTCACAGACTGAAAGTCAAAGGATGGAAAACAATACTTCAAGCAACAGGAATCAAAAAAAAAAAAAACCTGGGGTAGCTATTCTGTTGGCAGACAATGTGAACTTCAAACCAAGAATGATCAGAAGACATAAAGAAGGCCATTACATACTGGTTAGTGGAAAACTTCAAGAGGAAGAGATAACTATCTTAAATATATATGCACCAAATTCTAGAGCACTCAGTTATATAAATCAAATATTTACAAAAATGAAAAACTAAATTAGCAATAACACAATTATAACAGGAAACCTTAACACACCACTGACATCAAGGGTCAGATCAACCAGATAAAAAAATCAGTGAAGAAATAACAGAACTGAATCGTACTTGTGAACCAACTGACTTGATAGACATATAGAGTCTATCAGATATCTCTATACACATTCTTCTTATAATTACATGGGACATTCTCTAAAATATACCATATACTAGGCCACAGAACGTATTTAAATAAATGCAAAAGAGTTGAAATTAACCCATGCATGTTAACAGATCATAGCACCATGAAACTAGAAATCAATGACAAAAGAAACTGCAAAATCCCAGGAACACATGGAAATTGAATAACACACTCTTGAGCAATCAGTGAGTCACAGGGGAAATTAAAGAAGAAATTAAACAATGAAAAACAAATGAAAATACAAATACAACTCACCGGAATGTGTGGGATATAATAAAAGCTGTCATCAGAGGAAAATTTATTGCATTGAGTTCCCACATCAGGAAAACAGAATGAATACAAATTAACAACCTGATGCTACACCTATAACATCTAGAAAAAGAAAAGCAAGTCAAGCCCAAAAGCCAAAAGAAGGGAGGAAATTATAAAAATCAGAGCAAAAATTAATGCAATAGAGATTAAGAAAACAATTCAAAGAATCAATGAATCAAAGAGTTGGT